AGAATAAATATCTTTGGTGGGTTGTAATATTGCACATCGTACATCGGTTCTTAGTCGAAAAGGCTTTGGATTCGTGAGCTTAGGTTTTGTATACTTGACTCGAATACTAGCTGAAACAGTCTTTCCATTCAAACACTTATCTGCTACTGTCATCCCCTGGTTCACACAATAAATACCAGAAGAGGATAGTAGAATCCGATTAGAAAGTATTCGAAAGAAACTTAGCTACCTTTTGAGTGGTTTTGAGAGTTTCTTTCTTGCCAAAGATTTTCTTTTGCATTGAAGGGTCAGTGTTATGCTCGACTTTCCTACGAGATTCAGACAAAACAAAGTATATCTGTGAAGTATTGCTCAAATGGAATCCGAAGTAAAGCAAATAAACAACATTTTCCTCACCTGTTATTGTCCAAGGCTATAGAATTTTCCTCATCATCGCTTTCTCTATCGATATCCGCTGCATTAGTATTTTCTTTGTCGTCACACTTCAGTGGTAATGCATTTTCCTTATCTTTAATCTCTGAAGTCTCATCTAGCTTGGCTTTATTATCCACTCCACTCTCTTTTATTACCGCAGTATCTTCTCTATCGATATCGCCTGCACTAGTAGCATTTTTATTGAGATTGGTTTATATTGGTTCAATGTACATATTAGATTATGGTTTAAGTTGGTTTAGTGTATACGATACATGTATATAACATTATTGTACAGCTTTTGATTCATTAATGAGAAAATATTCTTCCGACAAACTTTCCGACAAACTTTCGAATTCTTCTCCTTACACTCCATTCAGCTTTTGATTCAGCTTTTGATTCATTCATTCAATAATGTGTATAACATTATTGTACAGTTTTTGATTCGTAATAATTTTCTTTGTCCTTACACTCCGAAGGTAACACATTTTCTTTTTCTTCAGAGATTAACACATTGCTTATTCAGTCCACTCTCCTCTATTACAGCAAGATCTTCTCTGGTCTGGAGTTGATCATTCATATCAGTCTTCAATGTGTCTGACAATTCACCATCTCCACTAGTTTCTTTCACTCATTCAGTATCTCTACTTTGCAACACTGTTGTTTCCGATAAGATTTTTCGACCACTTAAAAGTTTGAATCTCTTCTCCTTTCCTAATATCCCGTTTCCATGGCTTCTTCTTCTACTACTCGCACCTGGAAATACGATGTTTTCCCGAGCTTTAGGGGTGAAGATGTCCGTAGATCATTCCTCAGCCACCTTCTCGAGAAGCTTCAGCGCAAAGTAATCACTACATTCAGAGACAACGGCATCGAGAGAAGCCGTCAGATCGCACCTGAGCTTTTATCAGCGATTAGAGATTCGAGGATCTCGATCGTCGTCTTCTCTAAGAAGTATGCTTCTTCCACTTGGTGCTTGAATGAATTGGCAGAGATCCACAAATGCTACGAGGAGATGAATCAAATGGTGATTCCGGTTTTCTACGAGCTTGATCCTTCTCATGTTAGAAAACAGACCGGAGAGTTTGGCAAGGCCTTTGATAAGACATGCGAAGGCAAAACAGAAGATGATATTAAAAGATGGAAGAAAGCTCTAGCAAAGGTTGCAAGTATAGCTGGACATGATTCTCGGAACTGGTATGCATGTGTTCTTTTCTTAAATTTGTTTCAGAGTTGAGATTTCTTTGCATAGATTTCTAAGGGTGTTCACTTTTAACTATTGGATTTTAGGAGTGACGAAGCAAAGATGATTGAAGAAATCTCCAGTGATGTGTCCAATAAACTTTTTACATCATCTGATGATTTTGGTGACTTCGTGGGGATTGGAGCTCACGTAGAGGCAATTATGAGGACAAAGTTGTGTTTGGAATCTGGGGGAGTGAGAATGGTAGGGATTGTGGGGCCTTCAGGGATTGGTAAGAGTACCATTGCTAGAGCTCTTTTCAATCGACTCTCTACCCAGTTCCACCATCGGGCTTTCGTTACTTCTAAGAGAGCAGCCATGCAGGACAAAAAGGACAACTATAGCATGAAGATGGATTGGGCAAAACAACTTCTATCAGAAATTCTAGGTCAGAAGGACATAGAGATAGAAAGTTTAGGTATGGTGGAACAAAGGCTAAAACTCTGGAAAGTTCTTATTGTCCTCGACGATGTGGATGAAATAGAGCTGCTAAAGACTTTGGTGGGACGAACCGGATGGTTTGGATTTGGAAGCAGAATCATTGTGGTCACTCAAGATAGGCATATTCTCAAGTCACATGAGATTAAGCTTATTCATGAGGTGGAGTTCCCATATGAAGATTTGGCTCTTCAAATGTTTTGTCAATCTGCTTTTGGGGAAACCTCTCCACCTGATGGTTTTTTGGAGCTTGCTGCTGAAGTTACAAACCTTGTCGGTAATCTTCCTTTGGGTCTCAACGCTTTGGGTTCTTCTTTAAGAGGGAAGCTCAAGGAGGAGTGGTTGGACATGATGCCTAGGCTCCGAAATGGTTTGAACAAGAAAATTAGGGAAACATTAAAACTCTGTTACGATGGATTAGATGCTGAAGATCAAGAAATATTCCTTCACATTGCGTGTTTACTCAATGGCCATAAAGTAAAGTACATCAAAAGCGTGCTCGGAGATAGTGTTAATAGTGTTGAGAGTGGGCTGAGAAGGTTGAATGATAAGTCTCTCATACGTATAACATCATCAGGCGAAACAGTAGAGATGCACAATTTGCTACAAATGTTGGGTAGAGAAATTGTTCGTGGAGAATCCATTAACAATCCTGGAAAACGTCGGTTCTTGGTGGATGCTCAGGATATTTGTGATGTATTTAACGATAGTACGGTAAGCTTTTGCATATCCTTTTTCATTACTTATTAGTCTCTACTAAATTTAAGCAAGTCAGTATAAAAAATTGTGATTGTTATGATAATGACTTTGTATAGTGGGGATTTTATTTCAGGGCACAGAAACTATCCTAAGCATATGTTTTAACACATCAGAAATGAACAGCCCATTGTTTCTAGATGAAAATTCATTCTGAGGGATGTATAATCTCCGATTTATAAATTTTTATAAGGAGGAGTCGCGTAAGAGTGGTGAAGACAGATTGAATTTGCCTCAAGGCCTCGTTTATTTGCCCCGCAAACTCAGAATACTATATTGGGATGAATGTCCGTTGAAGTGTATGCTTTCAAACTTTAAGGCGGAGTTTCTGGTTAAACTCAGTATGAAAAACAGTAAGCTTGAGAAGCTGTGGGAAGGAACTCAGGTAATTACTTAATTAGTTGTCCATTCTAGAACAAAAACTTATTTTCCTCTTCATGTTGATGAATGGATATGGTATGGAGAAAACATAAAGTTGGAAAGTGATTTACATAACAAAGAAATTGAACACCTGTATTGTCTTTTTTCATGTTTTTGGTTTTCAGCCACTTGGAAGTCTCAAGAAAATGAACATGGCTGGATCCAGAAATTTAAAAGAAATTCCAGATCTTTCTTGTGCCATAAATCTCGAGAGAATGGATCTTTTGAAATGTACATCTTTGGTGACACTTCCTTCCTCAATTCGGAATCTCAATAAGCTGGTCCGTTTACGTATGACTGGATGCTCAAATCTCGAAGTTCTTCCAGCTGATGTCAACTTGGAATCTCTCATTCGCCTTGATATGATAGGATGTTCACGGTTGAGAAGCTTTCCTAAGATTTCAAAAAATATTTTAGAACTTGGTCTAAATGGAACTGCTCTAGAAGAAGATTCTACGTGGATAGAGAATATCTCTAGGTTCACTATTCTCATTTGGTCCTTTTGTCCATTAAGATGTTTGCCTTCTAACTTTCATACAGAATCTCTCGTTGTTTTCGTTATGAGAAATAGCAAGCTTGAAAAGCTTTGGGAAGGAGTCCAGGTATTTATTTCGAGAATTCTTTGTTAATAAAATTGAAATTAATTTTACTATTTAATTAATGTAGGAGTGAAATTCTATAAATTCTATAATTGAAATTTATTTGGGAAAA